CCCTGATTGTCACTTTACTCCTACTCTTTCCTCAACAATATAGTTTGTCCAAAAACATCCTTGGATATATAAGAAAAGCAAGCAGCATTCTACATGGAGGTTATAAAGTAAATGGTTTTGCTATAAAGAAGTGGAGCAATTTAGGATCTTAAACCTGGATTGGCTTAACAAAAATCATCATTTCAAATACTTGGTAGAATATTTTCTGCACACAGACTGCATGCTTGGGCACTTATAACACCTGATAATAGCCATCATTACGAGAACACTCCAGGGACAGGTAATTAAGACCCTTTCATAGGAACACAGCCGTGTGTTTATGACTTATGGAACTAGGAGGCAAGCTGCCTTTCATTAGCACATAATAACATCTCACTTTTATGGGACATTCCTTCAGTTGATTTTCTTAATTAGATTTAACTGAAGGATGAAAGTCAACGTTTACTACACAAAACTCTGGAAAGGAAGACCACTGTGTTGAAAACAATAATTGAACGCTGGAGCCACATACATCAAAGGTGCACACAAATAAGAGAACTGGGTTTTCTAAAGATCCCGAGACCAGGGAAGGCTAATGTAGGCGTTCTGTTTTGCTCCTGTTATGAAGAGGATAGTTTTTCAGTTTTTCATCATTGAGTGCGATGTTAGTTGTAGTTTTTTTATTTGTTCATGAATTAGACAATATTGTTAAGATGGCAATATTCCCCAAAGCAATTTAAAGATTTAATGGAATCCCTATGAAATTTCAATAGCTTTTTTTCTGCAGAGACGGAAAAACCAATCCTGAAGTTCACATAAATTGCCAGCGACCCTAAATAGCTAAAACAATATTGAAAAAGAACAAAGTTGCAGTGCCTATATTTTTACACTGTAAAACTTACTAGGAAGCTACAATAATCAAAATAATGTGGTATTGGCATAAGGATATATCATAAATAAAGGTATATATAAAATATATTTATAGGTCATGGAATAGAATTGGGACTTTATAAATAGCTATACATCTATTGTCACTTGATTTCAACAAGCTTGCCAAGACCATTCAGTGGGGAATAAAATAGTTTCTTCAACAAATTGTGCTGGGACAATTGAATATCCACAATGTAAAAGAAGAAAGTTAGACCTTTATCTCATACTGCCGGGGTCCAACCCCAGCAGGTCCAGGGGTTCCCAAAGGTGTAGACGGAGTCGGCGAAGAAGGAATGACACGGAGACAGCGTTCAGTTGATCAGCAGCCTAGCCAGGATCTCTAGCCAGGATCTCCAGCGAAGTTCTGTTCAGGATCTCCAGCGAAGTTCTGTTCAGGATCTCCAGTGAAGTTCTGGTTAGGATCTCCAGCCAGGTTCTGTGTCCATGTTCTCTTGCTAGGTTCTCCAGGTTCTCCAGCCAGGTTCTGTAGCCATGTTCCCTCGCTAGGTTCTCCAGCCAGGTTCTGTCCAGGTTCTCCAGCCAGGTTCAGTCACCAGGTTCTAGTCAGGTTCTCTTGCCATGTTCTATCCAGGTTCTGTAGCCAGGTTCTGTCTCTAGGTTCTTCAGCCAGGTTTTCTCACTAGGTTCTGTCTCTAGGTTCTGTGGCCAGTTTCTGTCCAGGATCTTTTGCCATGTTCCCTCGCTAGGTTCTGTCTCTAGGTTCTGTGGCCAGTTTCTGTCCAGGATCTTTTGCCATGTTCTCTCCAGCGAAGTTCTTCTGTCTCTAGGTTCTATGTAGGTTCTGTGTCTAGGTTCTGTGTAGGTTCTGTGTCTAGGTTCTGTGTCCTGTTGTCTTGTTACATCTGTATTTATACCAGTTGATTCCAATCCTATCAATCTCTATTCCAAAGGTTAGGGCGTTGATTATCTCCATTCCAGGGAGTAAAGATTATGTAGCTTAAGCATGATCGTTCGTAGTTAAAGTGATTAATTACCCGCCTGGCACTTAGTTAAGGGGTTTTATTCCCTCCCTAACTTCAGGGGAAAATCCCTACCTGGGGAAACAACCTTTCTCAGAGAGGTGACCTTGGTTAAAACACATAGTGCCAAGAAGGTGAGCAAACATATTAAGAACAGTATGCCATATATGCCAGGTCCCTTGAAACAGCAAGGATGGACCGGCTCCCGGCATCATACCAGATACAAAAATTAACTCAAAAAGGTTTGAAGACCTAAGTGTAAGAGCTAAAACCATAAATCTCTTTGAAGAAAGGTGGGAGTAGATTTTCATGACCTTGGACTTGGCAATGGTTTCTTACATATAATATCAAAAATACAAGCAAGAAAGTAAAAATAAATTGGACTTCATCGAGATTAAAAACTTTTGTGCATTGAAGGACACAAGAAAAGAAAAGGAAAACCCTTAAAGTCAGAGGAAATATTTGTAAATAATATGCAGGCATACCTTGTTTTACTGTGCCTTGCTTTATTGAGCTTCTCAAATACTGCATTTTCTTCAATATTGAGGCAAGACTCTCGACCAGCAAAAAGATTATAACTTGCTGAAGGCTCAGATGATGGTTAGCATTTTTTTTTAGCAATACAGCACTTTTAAATTAAGGTATGTATGTAGTTTTTTAAGACATAATGCTATTGTACACTTACTAGAGTACAGTATAATATAAACATAACTTTTATATACACCGAGAAACAGAAAAATCATGTGACTCACTTTATTGTGATTTTTACTTTATTGTGGTGGTCTGGATTTGAGCCAGCAACATCTCCAAGGTGTACCTATGTCTGATAAAGGTCTAGGACCCAGAATATATAAGGAAGTCATATAACTCAACAACCAAAACACAGAACAACCCTATAAAAAATGGACTGGAAAAAATTTGTCCAAATAAGATACACAGATGGCTACTGAGCACATGAAAAGATGTTCAACATCAATAGTTATTAGAGAAATACAAATTAAACAACAGTGCGAAACTAATTCACAGCTCCTAGTATGGCTATAACTTTAAAAAATAGAAAATAAGAAGTGTTAGCAAGGACGGAGAGAAATAGAAATCCTCACACTGTTGGTGGGAGTGTAAAGTTATGCACTTGTTTCTTAATAAGTTAACCATAGACTTATTCTATGACCTAACAACTTTACTCTTAGGTATATACCCCAAAGAATTGAAAACAGTTGTCCAAACAGAAACTTGCACATGAATATTCATAACAGCACTGTTTGCAATACCCCCAGAATGAAAACAGCCCAAATGTCCATGAGTTGATGAATGAATAAACAAAATAAGGCATACAGTGGAATATTATTCATCCATAGAAAATAATGAAGTACTGTTAAATACTACAACATAGTAAGTGAAGAAGCCAGACAGAAAAATGCAATATACTGTGTGATTCCATTTAAATAAAATATCCAGAATAGACCAATCCATAGAGACCAGAACACAGATTAGTGGGTTCCTGGGACTGGGGGAAGGGGTTTGGGGAATGGCTGCCTAAAGGGTATTCATCTCCTTTGGGGATGATGAAAATGTTCTGGAACCAGATAGTGGTTATGTTTGCATAGCATTGTGAATGTACTAAATGTCACTGAACTATACACTTTAAAGTGGTTAAAATGGCGAGTCTTAGGTTATGTGACTTTAAACACAATGGAATCAGTGTTATTCAAATGCTTGTTTATAGACATTGTCTGTCTACATCTTACTGTGTGTCAAATTTTTCTGAAAGTGAATAACTATCAAAATGCACACAAAACCCCTTGACTTAAATGATCATTATTTCTGTTACCTTGTCAATAAACTCTTGGAAGTTGGAGCCAGTGCACTTATCTCTGCATTTTGCACAGTGGCACTTTCATCGTCTTGCACATGATAGTCCCTAAAGTCAAATGCCTCACAAAGGAGAGGGGCCCCAAAGATGCATCAAAGTCTCGAGATGAACAATGACAAGCAGCATGACCACCTTCTAGTAACTTTTCTTTTTTAGGCAACTACTCTGAGCCATGCACATTCATCATTTCTAATCTTTACAACAGTTCTGCAAGGTGGATAGCACAAGGTACCCTGCACCACAAGGAATAAATGTTCAACTAATACCCAGAGTGAGATAAAGTGAAAATATCATAGATGATGATCCAAATGTACCTTGAATATTTTATTTATTTTTAAATTATAGTTATTGGGATGACACTGGTTAATAAGATTATATAGGTTTCAAGTGTATATTTCTACCTACACTTGGATTTATGACCTGTATATTGTGTACCTACCATCTAAAGTTAAATTATCTTCCGTCACCATATATTTGGCTCCGTTTACCCTTTACTACCCATGTACAAAATTTTGTTGTTGTTGTTAATTCTCATCTGAGGATATTTTTTCATTGATGTTTAGAGAGAGTGGAAGGAAGTGGGAGAGACAGAAAGAGGGAAACATCAATATGAGAGAGACACTTCGATTGGCTGCCTCCCACATGCGCCCAGACCAGGGCCAGGGATAGAGCATGCAATTGAGGAATGTGCCCTTGACCAGAATCGAACCCGGGACCCTTCAGTCCTCGGGCAGACGCTCTATCCACTGAGCAAAACTAGCTAGGGCCCATGTACAAAAATTGATTAAAAATGCATCAAAGACCTAAATATAATATCTGAAACAATAAATTCACATAGAAGAAAACATAAATACTAAAATTATGAACCTTGGTCTTAGAGAAGATTTTATGAATTTTAATATTTTAATTAAAAACATATAAACATATATTTACTCATCAATCTTTTAATAAGGAACCAGGAACTTTCTTTAATTATTGGTTCACCAACTTCTTGCATACATTTCACTTATAAAGCATGGCCCCCAATTTCCAGTTTTGGTTTCTCTTAAGGAGAAGGAAGAACATAGAGATGCTGTGAAATCATTAGAGCTCAGATTCGTCCTACATTTTTGTCCCGTCCTAGCCAGTAACTTAAGTTCTCTTACTTATACCTTACTTAGTAGCAATATTTTCATCACCTTTTATGTTATCTTTCCAACACATTCAACTTGGATTTCATGGAGAAAATGCTCTTTAGAAACATTTTTAATAATTGCTTTATTTATTAATTTTCTCCTTTTTAACATCAGCGTTGAAATTAATTCTATAATGACGACAAAAAGAACAGCGAACATAAATAAGGTTGAGGATTAAAACAACTTAATAGGCATACAACTCAGTTGGTGGCATCTTTCAAACTTTAATGTGTACAAGAATGAGCTAGAGAGAGAGAAAGGTTTTATTGAAACACAGATTCTGATTCTGCAGGTCTGGAATGGGGCCTGGATTGTGCATCTCTCACAGCCTCACATGGGATGCATTGCTGATGGTTCACACTCCAGGGAGCGAGATGCTAAAGCACCAAGGTCAGGGGCATCAGCCAGCACACTTCCATGCGGAAATGGGAGAGTCCATGAATCCAGGACTCTGATAAATGCAGGTCTGTTATGAAAGCTTCTATTCTGCTAGGTCATGGTTCTCATTACATAAGTGGGGATATTGAGCAAAGAGAAGCTGAAGGACTTACCCAAAGGGGGCCAGAGGGGAGTGGGCAAGCAGGAATTCAAACACATGCCTGTTTGCGCCAAAGCCCATACTCTTTCCACCGCACGTCTAAGACAGCTAAAGCACAGAGCACAAGGCACCCTAGAACGGCTGTAGGAAATGACAGTTCTGCCCAACTTGATCAGATGAAGCAGCAAAATGAGAAAGCAGTTCCCTCAACAAGATCTGTGTCTTTCTGGATTTCTTACAAATCATTAGGTGGGTCAGCTACGATAAGAGATTTTACATTCTCTTCCTAAAATTTATATATTGTCACAGAACTGTGGGCTTCCAGAGTTCCAATTATTTTTTAAATTATTTTTAGCACCACCATTCTCTCCAACATCTTGCTGCTCTTCAAGTGAATAAAAAGTGAAAAGTGAATTTACTGGCCCTCTGTGGTCTGAAGAAATGTTCAGAAACCAGGCACAAGAGAACAACTGGGCACAGTACAGGGATGTTAATGCCTACCTCATTCCCTAGGAGAATGGTTGCTCCAGAAATAGATAGTATTGTTTGTTTGTTTGTTTGTTTGTTTGTTTTATTAAATCAGGCTGCTCATTTGAATTCATATTCACTGCTTTATTATGCTGAAAGTTGCACATGACTTCTTTGGATCTTTGGCTCAATAATCACTTTGATGTTTTATTTATTGATTCAGTAAAGGACTTGCCTTTCAAGTTTGTTATCTCTGATTTCAATGGAATTTTTCAAAGAATTAGAAACTAGCTCCATAGTACAGTCCACTCGGTTTGAAACTGGCACAAGATTCTGAAGTATTATTGGTGCCCTGGGTGTTTCCTGCCATTTAGTTTCAAGCTAATAAGGAAATGCAGAGGTTGGCTAGAGTTTGCTATGAATATTGTAGATAGACATTTGTGCTGGAACACATTCAAAGAAGATTCTTTAGAGAATGCATTTTATTGTACCAGAGACTTTGCTTTCTTGGCTATTGAAATTATTTATATTTGGAAATCAGAGCTATTTCTCATCTTTGACCAACTGTTTTGTGAAGCCTCAACTTCCATATTTATGCAATCCATCTGTGACATCATTCAGTTGTTTCCATGGCAAAAAATTTTTTTTTCAAGGACACAATATAAAATGTAATTTTTTGGAAAAGGGTCTATTCAAATCCTTTGTGATCGTTTGAGGTTTTGTTTGTTAGTTTGTATTGAATCACAAGAGTTTCTTATATGTGTTTTGGATATTAACCTCTTATTAGATATGGTTTGCAGTATGTTCTCCCACCCCATAGGTTGCTCTTTCATGCTATTGCTTCCTTTGCTGTGCAGAGGCCTTTTTGTTTTAATATAATCCCACTTGTTTATTTTTGCTTTTGTTGCCTGTGCTTTTGGAATCTTAGCCAAGAAATCATTGCCAAGACTAATGTCATGAAGCCTTTTACCTATGTTTTTTGATAGGAGTTTTACAGTTTTGGATCTCCATATATAAGCCTTTAATCCATTTTGAGTTGACTTTTGTGTATAGTGCAAGGGTCAAATTTTATTCTCTTTTTATCTGGATATCCAGTTTTCCCAACACCTTTAGTTGAAGAGACTATCCTTATGCATTTCGGCGCCCTTGTCAGAGAACAGTTGACCATATTAGTGTGGGTTTAAGTCTGGACTCTATTCTGTCTCATTGGTCTATGCCAGGTGTTGTAACATACTAGCTTATAACATACTATTTTAATCACCATGGCTTTGCAATATATTTTGAAATCAGAAAGTATGGTACCTCCAGCTTTGTTTTTATTTCTCAAGATAGCTTTAGTTATTTAGGGTCCTTTGTGGTCCCACATACATTTTAGAATTGTTTTCTCTTTCTGCAAAACATGCCATTGAAATTTTAATAGGAATTGCATTGAGTCTGTACATCTCTCTGAGTAATAAGGACATTTTAAAATATTCTTCTAATCCATGAACATGGGATCTCTTTCCATTTATTTGTGTCTTCTTTAATTTCTTTCACCAGTGTTTTGTAGTTTTCAGGGTGCAAGTTTTTCACCTCCTTAGTTTATTGGAGAACATATTTGCATATAACTCTATACCTAACAAGGGGTTACTATTCAAAATATATTAGAAATGTCTACAACCCAATAACAAAAAAAATAATAATCATCTAATTTTAAAATAGGTAGAAGTCCCGCAGGGGTTAGGGGATGGGGTGGACAGAGTCAAGGGGTTGGGGTCACTGATGGTGCTCCTAGAGACCACTGGGAGAGGAGGAGGTCATGGGAGCACCCACAACCTCCTGGAACCAGCCCAGGCTGGGGAGCAGCCGCAACTCCTGGGGCAGGGCCAGGGCTTCCAGGTCTACAGTGAAGCCCCAGTGGTCCCCATCTCCTGGAGGTCACCGGAGTTTGTGGTGATGGGTGCTGTAGCTGCACCACTGCCTTTTCCCCATCCTCCATCCCCCTGGGCTGGGCTGATCCCTCCTCCTGTGCTGGGCCCAAGGTGTCTGGTCTACTCCAGTAGTTGCACCTGCCACGCTGCCCCCTCATTCATCCTCTTGCACCTTGGGTGGCATAGGCACCAAGATGTACAATTGAGTGGTCTGCCACTGGGAAGCCGGTGGCGAGAACACAGCCTCATGACAGCAGGGTTTTCACAAAACAGTCTACGAAAAGACCTGTTAGAGCCATTGTTGCACCCCACGCAGGATATACACCCTGGGGGCCTTTTGTGCTGCTCATGCTTACAAACCAGTGGATCCATCTACTACTCAAAGAACTTTCATCCTCGGGCCTTCTCATCGTGTGCCCCCCTCTCTGGAGGTGCCCTTTCCAGTGTGGATATAGAGAGAACACCTCTGTGTGACCTTGTGTCCACCAAACAATGGATAGAGAACTATGGAAGGCAGGAATGCCCGAACACAAGTCTCTGCAGACGGATGAAGGTGAACACAGTGTTAAATGCATTTGCCTCATGCAGCTAAAGCCTGGGAAAAGCCAAAGGTTCTGTTACAATTGCTACCCAAAATGCAAGGGGGAGATTTGTAGACCCACGGAACATCTAGATAAAATGGGTATGAGTATCATAGAATGGCCCTGTATCTTTTAGCAATTACTTGAAGAAATACCATAATACCATAGGCGGAAGACATCCCAGAGTGTCAGTAAATGCTATCAGAGGGGAATAGAATGAATATGAGCTTTTCCTTTTTGAGTTGTGCCCAGTCAAAGCCAGCGTAGAGATTGGCAAGACAGGTCAGTGGGTTATGCAGCTGGACCACCACAGTTCTCTGAAGCTCTGAGTCCTCAGGGATGCCATCTGCACACACTCACATTCTATTCCAGCTCTCACCAAGGTACTGGTCCTAGCTTGGGGGAATACTGCAATCTCAAACTAATAGAACTTTCTTCTCTTCTAGTATACTAGTATGTAGTGCTTCCTTAAATTCAACTCATTAAAAAAAGTTTACTAGTATAGTTTCAGGCAGTGGAAGGCTGGCATCAAATATTTTTATTAAAAAAAGATAATGCCATGTGAAGGCCCAGTTGTGGCTGATTAGTTTTTTCAAAGTAACTTGTAAATCATTTACCCTGGCAATCTTTGCAGACTTGTGCATATTAATTCTGCTTTAGTTTTGCAAATTGTATACAAAAAAAAAACGATGGAAACTTTTTCATAAAGAAATTGCACTTATGAATGGTCTATATTAGAATATAATTAATATCCTGTTATAGTCAATTGCTACTTGTGTTGTACAGTCCCAGCAAGCCAGTGAAGTCTAGAGCATCCACGTTTTCACTACTCACTATACTCCCCAAACCTAGTATTTGCAAGTAGAACTACCTGCTACTAACTTAGGAGTAGACTTGCCAGCACCAGAGTACATACTATGGAGTATTTTAAGCTTGCTGTAGAATATTCTGGACTCAGTCATACTTTTCTCAGAGATAGCATCTTGGTCTTAAGTTAAAATTTCTGACTCTTAAGCCTGAATGACTTCTGAAGTTAGATTTCTTCAAGATGATGGGAAAACTTGGGAAGATCTTCATGGGATACATGGGGCTTACTTTTAAAGACACTTATTTGTATTAACATGACTGACATAAAACAAGATAAGATGTGATATATGTGGGTGATAAAGTAAGCAACAGGTGTAAGTCTAATTGTGTCACTAATTTGGGAATAAAACATATTGATCATTCTCTGCATTAGGAAGTGATATGATCACATGAATTTCTTGTTATCACTAAATTATATATTACATTGTATACATGTTACTACTTATATATTTGGGTATATGTATATATATATGTGTGTGTGTACATATTTGTGTGTACATACATATGTAATGTACTTTTTAAAAGTTTGAATAGATAAGTCTAAGCTGTTAATTAAGTGACTATAAATATACCACTTTTATAGTAAAGCACTGAGGTATTCTTTGGCAGTGAGCATAGATTTCACATAATTTTATTATATCCTTTAAAGATAGCATTAGTATTAATTAAATAGATCCACAGGTAAACTATCTTCTGGGGGTATTTTTGACATCTTTGTTTATTAAACTTGGCAGATATTAAGTTAGTACTTTCATTGGAATAAACCCCCTTTGTATGCACCACAACTTAAAATATAACCTAGAGATAAAGCACTTTGGCACTCCATGCCATCCTTGTAACTTAACACCACAGAGAATGCTATAGCATTTCATAAATTTATTTCTTAAATACAAGTATGACTCTTGACCTCGATCGTGGTTTCCATGTTCACCTTTAGCCACATCCAGGATTTCAGTTACTCATCATTTCCCTCCACCAGTCTCTACTGGCAATCACACGGGGTGTTCAGATAGCACCATTTGTGATAATGCAAAGGAACGGGCAGACATGATTCCTGCACCCTCCCCTGGCCTGTGAGAAAGCAGCTCGCAGTCTGTACCAGGTGACCTGACACTTGGCAGTGACAGAGCCAAAGTAATGGCAGGGCAGAAACTGAGTCAAGCTGGCATGTCCTTGGTAAGGAGCCTATACACCAAGTCCCGGTTTCACTCGTGTCAAGGGCCTGATGGAGCCCCCGCTTCGGAAGCTCCCACTGCATCTCCTTGACCCGCCCAGCCCTTGAACACCTGTGTGGTCTCTGTTGCTCATCTTCGGAGGCAGCAGACGTGCCAGAGTGAAGCACCGTCTGCTCACCTCTGATAGATACAGCCTGAGCCAAGACAAGGGTCCCAGGAAGGGGAAACTGTGGAACCAGGGGCACGCTATCATTTATGTGGCATTTAACACAGGCGCCAGCCCACGTTCCTGCCTGGTAACAGGACCGCTTTCCATATTTGCCCAGCTGCCCTTGTCTCCTTAGCAGGTAGGACAGCACCAAGCATTCCCCAACCACCCAGAAAACAGCGTCTGGCCACCATCTCTGTTCCCAGCGAGCTAAAACAACAATAGTTTAAATTACTTTGAAACTTTAATTACAGGTACTTTTCCACTCAACATCAGAAAGTTTGGATGCTCTCCTTTTTTTGCATCAAGGCTGTCAAGGTGGTTAAGGTAAATCGTGGGTCTTTTGCTATGTACATATCTACACCCAAGTCTCTTTATTAATAAAATGTGTCTGGTTTGCAGTCCCAAACCAACAACCCTCTGCCGGATTCCAGGCTGTAAAACGCCGAGAGGAAACACCTTCAAAGGAGGACAGGAAGCAACCACAATGAAAAGCTGTAGCTCGCTATTCACTCCTTCTAAGTTCACCTCAGAAACCGAAGCATAATTACGAGGAAGAAAAGAAGCGGGCCTCGCTCGCCCCCTGCTCCCTCCACCAAACGCTCTGCGGTCTTAAAGTGCAATTACTACTGTGAAGGCGCCCAGGCCAGGGCCCCGACTGGACAGAGTTCAAAGCAGGAACTTCAAACAGAGCTGCTCATGACTCAGGCTGGGAGGGGGCGAGGCGAGGAGAAAGGGCAGGACAGTTCTCGGGCACTCAAGTGCATCGGCAGCAGCGTCCTCGCTTTTCCTAAGGGAAAAAAATGCCAACTGCAAGGAGACCTGGGGTGGATCAAATAGAACTTGGAAAACATTTCTATCTGAGGCTATTCCAGTGCAGTAGAGTCAAAAGGCAGGCAAGCGCAGCAAGCCGCCGGGGACAGGCGCTCCTCCCGGGCGCCCGGCTCCTGTACTGCTGAGCCCTGTGGTCCTCGGAGAAGGAGAAGTCCTCGGGCCGGGACACGGAGGACGCGCACTGGACTAAGGGCATCTGGTAGGACGTGGCTCTCTTCTCGGGCCTGTCGGGACTGGACCCGTCGCTGGGCCTCTGGCCATTGAACAGCAGGTAGCGGCCGCGGGCGTCCTGCTCCATTTTGAAGATCTCGTATTCCGTGTGAGGTAGCTTGATTCCCAGGGCCACGCAGCCATTGGTGTGCGTCACATCCTGCTGGACGCCCACCTGCCAGGAGCCCTCGGCCCCACATTCATTCCCGTTGAAGACGTTGAGGAGCGAGGCCGTGGCCGCATCCATGGGGGTGACCTTCATGTGATTCACTGCAAAGGGGAGAGGACAGCTCCGTGACTCTCGGGGAGTGAGTGTGCGGTGGGTGCAGAAAGCCCGTGGAGTACCTGCCCGCAGCACTGCCTCCCCACAGGCCTCTGCCCTAGAACCAACCCTGATGCCCACCCCCCTGACCACGGCCCGCGTCAAAGCACCCTCAGGTGGAAAGAGCAACGTGCTGCTCTGGATAACAATCACTCCACGTGTACGTCGGTCAAAGTGGCCTACACTGGGCGTACACAGGCTGCGCCCAGACTGCAATGGATCGCAATTGTCTTTGGTGACACTGACTCTTTGGGATTGACAAAATATTCAATGAAACTGGATTTTTTTTTTTTTTAATGAAAAGATTTTAAGGTTTTTAAACATATTTGGTATCAAATACCTATACTAGTTAGAAGTCTTGCAAATTATTACTGGCCCATAGATTGGGCAACTAAAATAAATTAGGCTACAAACAAGAAAAATGAATAAATACATTAAATACAAATCCTGGAACTGATAAGAGGACCTCTTTTGAAGACCCTTCCAGGGGACTGCATTCTATATACCAAGAGAGTTTTTGGGTCGAATCAGACACATGTGTCCATTCTCTTGGCTACAGCTACCAAAGAAAGGTCCAGTCTTCTTGGAACAAATCTTCCTTTCTTAAGAGGAGGGCTGAGACACCCTAGGACTTATCTGGGTCATCAGAAATACTTTAGAGTAAATAGACTGACCAATGGAACGCTATCCTGGGAGCGGTCATCCCCAGGGTCCAGGCCGTCCCTCTTCGCCAGGACAGGGCTGACACCATCTTACAAAGGTGTCCAAGCTTTAAAAAAATCTAGACGTAGAGCCCCAAAGACTCTCTTCCTGATAACAGCCCAGTGACCCTCATTCCTCACCTTCCTCGCTCATTATGTATTCTGCCTCCCATCTTCAAGCACGTGACAATTTCCTCGCGCAGGACAAGCCCAGCGTTGGAAATGACAGCTCCGAGCCCCTGAAGTGTCACTCACACCTGCTTTTTATCGCTCACTAAAGAAAGCACGGTGCATGCAGTGAGGGTGATGTTATCACAGGGGTAGCTCAGCATACGCCAGGGGCTGCACATAAGAAAGGAAATGCGCAGACTTGAGGCTTCACTCTGAGTAGCATACTCCTGGGCCACACCTGGCACCGTGCACAGGGTGTGGGCTCCCCGGCCCCACCCTGGCTGGCAGAGAAGGCTCAGAGGCCGTTGTAAATGCTCGCCTTGGGGCAGAGAGCGTTTCCTAATCTCTTCTCCAACATCTCTAGCAGAAAAGAGGACCTCTCCCTCAGGTTAGCTGCCTACACAAAAGTCACAAAACCGCTCCCTCTCCCTCACGCATTGGGCTGTTTTGCTGGGCTTTCAGGCAGAAGACCTACCTTTGAACACAAACTCCGTTCCCCCCATGACCCTGGAGGAGTGCACGCCGCGGCTGTAGCGGCCCTTGGCGTAGATGGTGAAGGTGGGATGCTTGCAGACGGGGTCCGAGTAGTGGTAGTAATGCCCTTCCCAGGTGTTATTGTTGTCGTGGAAGATGAAGTGGCGCGTGAGGAAGAGGACCTCGGGCCGCACCTCACAGCGCTGGCTCACCCACTCTCCATGCAGGCCCACGGTCAGGTCAGCCTTGGGGGGCAGGAGGGGAGGGTGGTGCTCATCCGACCGGTGGATGATTCGACAGGCGATGCAGGCATGGTCGTGGTTCTGCAGCCAAGAGACAAACACAGGAGAGACCTGACTTAGGAGAGCGCGGTGTGCACGTGCTTCCGGCAATGGCGATCACCGCAGTGGGGGTGGGTGAATCCCCTGAGCACCAGGACTTGTGTGACCTGGGTACCCACGAAGCACCTGGAGCCATGCTACCAGGCACAGGTGGTGTGTATGTGTGTGCATGTGGTGTGTGCATACTCACAAGTGCACATGTGTTTGGCTGACATTAGAAACTCACCTAAATATTCATAAAGAGATACAGTCTCCCTTTAGAATCCCATTACATCTTCAGAATGCATGTGCTAGACACTCTTTCAAAAAGAAGGATTTGTATCACCTCATATCCATTAGGATGGCTACTATAAAAAAAAAAAAAAAACTACCCCAGAAAATAACAGTGTCGATAAGGGTATGGAGAAATTGGAACTCCTGTGCACACACTGCTGGCGGGAATGTAAAATGTTGCAGCCACTATGGAAAAGAATTACTTTATGATCCAGTAATCACACTTCTGATTTATACCCAACAGAGTTGAACCCAGGGTCTCAAAGAGATATTTTTCACCCTGTTCATAGCTATTATTCACAATAGCTAAAACATGGAAACGACCCAATGTACATTGAGAGATAAGTGGATTAACAAAATGTGGTCTACCCATACCATGAAACACTATTCAATTTTAAAAAGAGAATGAAATTCTGACACCTGCTACAACACGGATGAACCTTGAGGATGTTATGCTAAGTGAAATAAGCCAGACACTAAAGGACAAATACTGTGTGATTCCACTTACGTGAGGGACCTGGAGTAGTCAAATTCATAGGGAGAGGAAGCAGAATAGTGGTTCAGAGGCTGGGGGAGGGGGGATGGGGAGCTAGTGTTTAATGAACACGGAGTTTCAGTTGGAAAGAGGAAAAAGTTCTGTGGATGAATGATGATGACGGTTGCAAAATAATATGAATGTACTTAATGCCACTGAACTGTATACTTAAAAATGGCTAAGATGGTCAATTTTATGTTATGTGCATTTTACCAAAATTAGATATTTTTCATTAAAAGCAATTAGAAGACAAGACACACAAACATTTTGTTTGGGTTTCTAAAGGACAGCATCCGACTGCTGTGGATGAGACAGGGAGCTGTCCAGTAAAGCAGGGATGAAGGAGGGGGCCTGAGGAGCACAGAGCAGAGCCTCAGGAGGCGGCAGACACACCTTCATCCATTCGTGTCTGCCGGCTTCGGGTTTGGAAGGTTTATGGGCTCTCATTATGCCTCCTGCTTTAGAGCTTTAAGCCATTTAATGAGTGTGAGCTAGCTGGGGCTCCCCTCTTGCTGAGTCTGCTTTGTAACACTAACACAGGCCTGGAACAGGTTTGTGGCTAGAAAACCTCGTAGTAGGGTGGCCAGACACTGTCAGCCACATAGACGCTGGTGGTCAGAGGGCTCAGAGGGTACATAAAAGGCTGGTTCCTGACTATTCCTGCATGGTCCAGCTGCTTGCCCTACGTCGCAGATGCCTGCAAGCCTGCCTCCCCTGGGTGTGGGGACCTCTATTCCTCTGCTCTTCTCCCTCCCACACAGGGAGCTGTAAAGCCAGCTGGGCCAACAGGCACTGGCCATGCTAGAAGCAGGACTCGATTCTCATCATGCTATGGTGGCGGTGCCAGCTGAGGGTCAGCTTTCTGGTGGACAGCCTACGGACACACATGGACCCAGGCCTGCACTCCCTTGCCCAGGGGTCCATGAGGTGCAGCAGCTTGCTGGCAGGCGGGCACTCTGGCAGGCATGCAATTGTTTTTCTAAAATCAGAAAACAAAGCTCAAAGCCCTTTTCATCCCCAGCACTGACTCGTGTGATGTAGCTGTGGCTGCTGCTCAGAAAACGCTCAGCCGTCTCAGAGAGCGGAGAGCAGTGAGGAGAGGGCCTTCCGGCTGCCGGCCTCTACCTCCTCCCAGGAGAGCTCAGCGCTCACTCACTGGTTGCTGTGTTCATTAGATCAGCTACAGCTGTGACTCGTGGGATAGAAGGGTTCCTTCGCTAACACCGTTTGCAGCTTGTGGACCATGAGATCAAAGGGACAGCCGCAGAGTGAGATGAAGGCTGTCCTGCGTCCCCGTGCCTTTGTGGGCCTATGGTTTCCTACAAAGGGCGCTAGGGCACACGGGAGAAGCTGCTCGGCAGCCGTGGTCAGCAGCGCGATGCTGTCTGAAACCTGCACACAGCCCTTTGGGCCGTGAACTGCACAGAAAGAGACAGTTCCAGGTGGTCCTGAGGGCCCTTTGCCAGGCCCAAGCTCCCAGCAGCGACTGTCGCTTAGCAGCTGGTGACCTGGGGCACATTATTTATCTCTTTAGGCTTCAAAGTCATCACTTGTAAAACAGGGGTCCTTATACTTACTTGCGCAGCCGCTGTAAGAAATGAGCAGCAGATTAAGGTGGTTCCTCCTCGGTGCTCCCAGGCCACTGTGAGGAGTTTCTCAGAGTGGCGGGCCAGGGGGTGGAATCGCACACATGCACGGCCTTCCCCGGGAAACTAAATGGCATGAGCCACACTGTATGTGCCACTATCTTTCAAATGCATGTTAGGGCGAATAAGACACACATTTTGTTAAAAGAAAGCATCACCAAGTTCAGTAACTTTGCCATTATGTATGCATTTTCTTAGTAAACTGCCAGGAGGTGAAAGTTCCTAAAAGGAAAAAAGCAAAACACCAAAAACGTTCTGATACTCTACTTCTGAGGTGGGAAGTTAGTATGAATTAAGGGTACCATCTTATTAGCTGCCGCACCAGGAAGTAGCCTCTTAATCGCTAGCAAAGCTCATCATGATCAGCGCCTGTATCAAACCCCACCTACTGTCCCTGCTCCACTACCCTGGCCCCACGTAGTCTGAATAATCCCAGCCCGTGCTCAGATTCAGATCTCTGAGATTTCAGGGGCAGGAGAGGGGTGTCCTGGTGCCGCTGCCTGTTAACAAGGACACCGAGCTCTGCAGGAGGCGGCCTTGGAGAGAGAAAGGACCCAAGCAGCACAGCTCCCCACGGAGGGCTCCTCCGTGCCACTCCGCCAGCAGCTCAGCAGCTGGCAGCTCACTAACCGCTCCTCCTCCTGCTCCCCGGGCAGACCCTAAACGGCCTGTTCACTTCTACGCCAACCCCGCCTCCACCTCCCCTTCCTCCCATGGCCCACACTTGCTTTGCTACCTGCCATTTGGGAATTTAAAAACCTCAATGGTGACCACTTCATTTCTGGTCATTCTAAGAAGGCGTGAGCCTCAGTCTCTTTGTTTCCTCCAACACCAATGATCAACTCAGGAGCTGCCCAGGGACTTCGCAGAGCAGAAAAGGAACAGGTCTAGTCAGGGGAGCTGGGCACAGCTGCCAGGCCCAAGCTGTTCTAGGAAGGTGCCACACCCAGCACGGTAGCATCTGGTGTGTTCACGTGGTGCTTTTAAAACAACGGGGCACGGGTCTTGAGCTAAAGTGTTTCTTAGCAGAGAAAAGCAGATCATGTAGTTTGGGGGAAGCTTGCCATCCATCCATCCGTCCGTCCATCCATCCATCCATCCATCCATCCATCCATGCATCAGCTGGGTCTGTGAGGATTTAGGGAGGGAGTGGGGGACCCTTGGGTATTATTGGTCTTGCCAAATTCCTACACCAGTTAGTTGTTTTTTTATTTTATTATTGTGGTAAAATAAACATAATGTAAAACCTACCATCTTAACCATTTTATGTGTGCGGTTCAATGGTACAAGGTACATTCACATTGTGCCACACCAACACCATCTATCTCTAGGACTTTTTCATCTTCCCAAACTGAAACTCAGCATCCATTAAACAGTAACTCCCCATTCCTGCCCCCAACCAGGCCTCGACGAGCACCATTCTGCTTTCTGTCTCTATGACTTTGACTACTCTAGGTACCTCATATAAGTGAGATCACACAATATTTGTCCTTTTTATGATTGGCTTCTTTCACTAAGCACAATGCCCTCACGGTTCGTCCATGTTGTAGCGTATGTCAGAATGCCCTTCCTTTTTAGGGCTGGATAGTATCCCATTGCATGAGTAGACCACATTTTGTTTATCCATTCATCTGTTGGTGGACACCTGGGTTGCTTTTAATTTGGGGCTATTATAAATACTAATACTATGAACATGGATATACAATCTATTCCAAACCCTGCTTTTCATTCGTTTGAACATATACCCGGAAGTGGAATTGCTTGAGCATATGGTACTTCTATGTTGAACCTTCTGAGGACTACCATACTGTTTTCCATAGCAGCTGTACCATTTCCCCCAGCCATGAACCAGGGTTCTAATTTCTCTCCATTCTCACAAACAATTGTCATTTTTTTCTAATAGCCGCTCTAGTGGGTATAAGGAGATATCCCATTGTAGTTTTGATTTACATTCCCTAATAATGAGTGATGTTGAGCATATTTTCATGTGCTTAGAAGCTATTTGTGTACCTTCTTTGAAGAAATGTCTATTCAAGCCCCTTGCCCATTTTCAATAGGATTATTTTTTTTTAGTTGACTAGTTACATTTTAAAATAACTCTTTAGCTGGCATTAAGAAATGAAAGATGTCATAAACAAGGGTTGAACTTTTGGCCCCTCTGTGGTTACTGTCAACAAAGGGACCGCTTAGCCACAGTTGGACAGAGGAAACACCTCTCTGTTTTGTAGACAGATTTTTAAAAAACTTAATTTGTGCTCTTCATTCCTTGGATTGAATAAAAACCAAAATACCTACAGGAACAGCAAAGGGAAGCAGAAGTTAACGCCTATATATTGCATTGGGCTCTAGTGTTTCAGATGCTTTTTTAAATAGTAGTCTTTCAAGATTAATAAAAGGGAAGACTTTTTCAACATGGAGAGTAATCTGTGCTATGAAATATCGTCTGCTTTATGAAGTTACTCTCTTTTATTGGACCATGTTCTAACAAATGCCTCTCCTGTGAGAGCTTAACTCGCCCAGGCTTTCCG